GGAGGAGGACGCTGACGTGAACCGCGACCACTAGTGCGTGCAGTGCGAACAGGCGACGCAGGACGAGACGCAGGCTCACGACGCTCAGTAAGACCTCCAGTCGGACCAGCGTAGGGAGAAGGAGCAGGCAAAGGGGAGGCAGGCTGTAGCTGTAACTGTGACGGGACTGGCTGTGGACCCTCTAAGGGAGGAGGAGGAGGACCAGGAGAAGGTGTCAGACCAAGAACCTGCTGCAGGAGCGGAACGAAGTACGGTCGGGGCCGCGTGGCGACGCCAGAAACACCAGGGACAGCACCAGTACCCCCAGCAGGAGTACCCGCTCTAGCAGCACTTCCAGCAGCACCTCCAGCACCCCCAGCAGCACCAGGAGCACTGCCAAACGAACCGCCAGCAGTAGTCTCAGCCCCAACACCCTCAGCAGTACCAGCTCCAGGAGAACCCGCAGACCCAGCAGCTCCAGCACCCACAGCACGAGCACCTCCGGGACGCGCGGCAGCAGCACCCTCTGCAGCCGAAGAACCTCCAGCACCAGCAGCACGCCTCCAGCGCCGGGCAAACCACTCACGCAGCTCCTGTGGGGAGAGTGGCTCTCGGCGAGACGAAGCACCTCCAGGCGGAGAACCTCCAGGCTCAGCACCCTCAGGCAAAACACCTCCAGGCGGAGCACCCCCAGTCTCAGCACCCCCAGGCTCAGCACCCCCAGGCTCAGCACCCCCAGGCTCAGTACCCCTAGGCTCAGCACCCCCAGGCTCAGCACCCCCAGGCTCAGCACCCTCAGACTCGGCACCCCCAGGCTCAGCACCCCCAGGCTCAGCTCCCGCAGCAGGACCAGAGTCACCAGTGACCTCGACAGGCTCGACCGCGTCTACCTGGGACACACCTGAAGGGGCAGGACCCTGAGGGGGGAGGGGGTCTACCGGGGGGGGACCTCGTACCAGGAAGAGCGGGGGCGGGGGAAGGGAAGGAGTGCGGTAGGGGAAGAGGCGGTAGTAGGGTACCGACTCATCGAAAGTGACGTCCTGGGAGGACAGAACACGTCGAGAGGTGGGGTGGTAGAACTGCCACCCAGGGGCGTCGGGGGGGGAACCCTAGGAAGACGCAGGGAGCAGCGCGAGGGGACAGCTTGTCCGCAGACAAGTCGCGGACAAACGCCCGAGATCCCCAGACCCGGAACGCCGACGCATCGCCAACCTTCCCCGTCCACAGCAGGGCTGGGGAGGTCTCCGGCCTGGAGACCCTGGGGTGGAGGTTGATCTGATGCGCCGCGTACCTGACCGCAAACGGCCACAGAAAATGGGGGGCAGCCGCATGCATCATAGACGTACGAGCGACGTCCATGACCATGCCAATGCGGCACTCTGCAATCCCATTTTGCTGCGGTGAGTCCGGAAGCGTGAAGGTCTGGCGGATGCCTCGGGCACGACAGAAGGCACGCAGAAGGCCAGAGGAGAACTCTCCGCCTCTGTCCGAGTGCAGACGCAACACAGGAAAGTCCGAGCCAAAGCTCTGCCTGAGCTGGAGACGAGCTGCGCGGATCCAGTCGATCAGCACCTCAGTGACATCACCCTTGCTGCGCAAGGGGAAGACTGTGGTGTAACGCGAGTAGTCGTCAACCACCAACAGGACGTAGCGCTCGTGACCGAGTCCACGGACGCGGGCAGGGCCCCACATGTCCATGTGAAGTGTCTGTAACGGAGCCTCTGTCAGAGGAAACTGGGAGGAGTGAGGGGCAGCACGCTGGCGCCCCTCGACACAGGGGACACAGGCAGGGCCAGGGCCCTGAGGAAGGGGAGGGAGGGACCGGGGGAGACCAGACACAAGAAGACGGGAGGCCATGCCTCTGGGCCGAAGCAGAGAGGGGTGGCCAAGGCGGTGGTGCCAGAGGAGAGTCTCGTGAGACAGACGGCGACACGAACAGGGGGCAGACTCAGGACCAGACCTGGACGCTGCAGCAAACACCTGACCAGACGAAGGGACTCTACCAGACTCAGCACCGGGAGGAGAAGCAGTGGTCAGTGTGTACAGGCTCGACCCTGGCTGACGTCTAAACGTAGCCAGGTGGTGACCTGTGCTCGCCTCTGTGCAGTGTGTCACCCGCTGACGAGCAGGAGTGAACTGGTGGACCCCCACATCCTGTAGGTCAGCACCACTCACCAGGTTTGTAGAGAACGAGGGGAGGTAAAGACCAGTCAGGGTGCCAGAGGTAGCCGCCAGACACGGGAGGACTGTGGAGAAACGAGACAGGACAGGACCCCCAGAGGGGTCAGCCAGGGACACCGCAACAGGCCAACTAAGCGGCGTGAGAGTGGTGCGGTCCCGAAAGAAGGAGCGAGACGCCCCAGAGTCAAGGGTGAAGGTGTGGGAGGCAGAAGCCGACACAGTACCTGAGAGGGCAGACTCACTAGCACCTGAGAGCACAGACGCACTGGCACCTAGAGCAGCAGCCTCACTGGCACCTGACACAGCAGTACCAATGCCCGGGTCGGGCGGAAAGCACCGGTAACAGTCACCATCATCACTAACACTCAGAGCATACATGGCAGCAAGGATAGCATCAAAGTCAAGATCAAACACAGCTACACCAGCCCTAGACAGCTCTCCCCAGCGGGGGATCTCAGAGGCCTCCGGAAACTGCTGGCGCCAAGCGTCGGTCAGGCGGGCAAAGCAGCGGCGAGCGGTGTGGGTGCCCCCACACTGCTCACCCGCGCGGTCGCCGGTGCGAAGGACGTAGGTGCAGGGACCGACGCCCCACCACGCTGACGCTGCGAGTACCACTCACGGAGCTGCTGAGGGGCGGGGACGTCGCGAGAGCGCTGCTGCTGCTGCTGCTGCTGGCGCTGACCACCCCCAGTGCCGCTCCTCTGGGACGAGCCACTCCGACCACCTCCACCACCGCCACCCCCGCCTCCGCCGCCACCGCCGCCACCGCCACCCTCGCCCCCGCCGCTCCCATTGCCTCCTCCGCCACCACCTCTGCCGCCACCGCCGCCTCCACCGCCGCCACCAGGACCTCCACCCCCGCCTCCACCCCCACCGCCACCCCCACTCCCCCCGCCGCCCCCACCTCCTCCGCCACCGCCCCCGCTAGCTCCACCCACTCCCTTGCCCCCCTTGCTCCTGCCAGAGCGGCGCCTACCGCTGGGGGCAGACGCCGCACCGACCGACTCTAAACCAACGAGGTCGGCCGCAGCAGCAGAGGCAACAGAGGGTAGCAGGGGGGAAGGAGAACACCCCTCAAAGATGGGGGTGCGCGGGTCACCACAAGAGGCCCCTACAGCGACTATGCTCTTCTCGGCCGCTAGCAGGGACTTCTCGAGGAGGTCGACAGTGAGGGTGGTGGGACAGACAGAGAGAAACTGGTCCCTAACAGCACGAAGGGACTCAGGGAGACGGGTGACTAAAAAGTAGAGGGTGATGTACATGGGAGGGGGGTTTTCAGCGAGGAAGGCAGCAGGAAGCGCAGCTCGGTAGCGAGTGTCACTAGCGCGAAGGTGGGTAAAGAGGTCAGTGACTGTGGGAAAGGCAGCAAGGTCAGGGAAGAGGTACGGTAGCATGAGGCGGCTCAGTGTAGCAGTGGAAGGGGAGGAGTAGCGCGCAACTACAGCGTCGTAAAAGGCCTGAGCGGTCTTGCACTGACTAAAGTGTGCACGCTCGGAGGAAGGGAGGTGGCGACGCACAGCAAGACGTGCAGCAGCATCGCGTGTGGCCCACTTGGAGCGAATAGTGGGGTCAGCATCAGCAGGAGGGGCAAGGACAGCGCCAGAGACAAAGTCAAAGAGAGAAACCTCATCGATCGCATCGCACATTAAGTACAGCTGCAGGTCCTAAATCCAGACAGCAAAGTCAATGGCGCGACCCTCAGCGTCAAAAGTCAGGACACTGGGGGTGGCCATTGTAGCAGCTGATAGTCTCACCGGGCAGGAAGAGTCGGGTAGCAGAACGACACAGCAACACGGCAGCACAGCAGCTGCGCCGACCCAGGAGCCCCACAGGAGCAGAAGATCGGCTCCTCGGGCGGCTCGGGCGGCTCGGGCGGCTCGGGCTGCTCGGGCGGCTCGAGCGGTTTGGGCGGCTCGGGCGGCGTGGGCGGCTCGGGCGGCGTGGGCGTCTCGCGGGCGGCTCGCGGGCGGCTCACAGGCGGCAGCACGGGCGGCTGGTGCGGCTTGTGGACAGCTGCACGGGCGGCTGGAGCGGCGAGCGGGCGGCTCACGGGCGGCTGCACGGGCGGCCGAGGCGGCTCACGGGCGACTGGGGCGGCTGCACGGGCTGCTGGGGCGGCTCGCAGGCTGCTCACGGGCGGCTGCACTGGCGGCCGCACGGGTAGGTGCACGGGCGGGTGCACGGGCGGCCGCACGGGTAGGTGTACGGGCAGGTGCACGGGCGGGTACACGGGCGGGTGCACGGGCGGGCACACGGGCGGCTGCACGGGCTGCTCGTCGGGCGGCGCGTTGGGCAGCGCGACGGGCGGCGTTAGGGCGGGCAGCGGGCAGCGCGACGGGCGGCGCGTTGGGCAGCGCGACGGGCGGCGCTAGGGCGGCTGCACGGGCAGCGCGACGGGCTGCGCTAGGGCGGCGCGTTGGGCGGCGCGTCGGGCGGCACTAGGCTGGCGCGTCGAGCGGCGCTAGGGCGGCGCTAGGGCAGTGCGTCGGGCAGCGCTGTGGGCGGCGCGTCGGGCGGCTAGCGCTAGAGCAGGCCGCGGACGGGCGCTAGGGCGCTAGGGGCGGCGCTCACGTTCGAGGGCGGGCGGTGCGCTAGCGGCTAGGGCAGAAAAAAAAAAAAAAGACGTTTCGAGGTGGTGGGCCCTAAGCACAGGTCCCACAGGGGAACCTGATCGATACCATGAGAAGAAGTGAACGAGAATGAATGAACTATGAATGAAGTGAGTACAAATATGAAACCCTAATTGGGTTGTACCCCCTATGGGATACCCCACTATAGCCTACACAAATAAGTAAGCTTAATGTTCTGACACGTTCTTCACCCCTCTCCACCTCCCTTGGATGCCCCTGCGCTCTACCTGGCCATGTGGTGGAGGACAACCCATCAACCGTCCCTTTGTTCTCACCACTCTCAACCCCCTCGTACCCCCCTATGCGGGCCAGGTGGTGGTTGGCAGCGCCATCTGCGCCCCTCTGTTCTCACCCCTCTGCACCCCCCTATACCCACGCACCCCTCTTATCACACAGGTGGTAGACGACAATGTGATCAACCGGCGGGTGGCAGCAGTGGGTAACGCCATTTTCATCCATTCATTTCACCCCCCTTGTGCTGCCCCAGGTGGTGGACGACAACATGATCAACCGGCGGGTGGCAGCGATCACGCTGGCGCGGTACGGGGCGGAGGTGGTGCTGGCAGAGTCGGGCGAGGCGGCGCTGCGCCTGCTGCAGGCGTGCCACTCCTTCCGCCTCGTGGTCATGGACCTCCTTATGCCCGGCCTCGACGGCTTCCACACCACCGCCCGCCTGCGCGCATTCGAGGCCGCCGCCCAGGCGGCCCAAGACGTGCATCACATACCAGTGGTTGGGGGGGAGTAGTGTGGAGGCCATGGAGAGGGGCTGGCAGCAGCGGCAACGAAATCATGTGGTGGCCATGTCAGCAGATGTAGACTGCACTGTTGCCGCTCGTGCCACCGAGGCTGGCATGGATCGAGCCGTGCAGAAGCCACTCAATGAGAGACTGCTGCTGCAGGTGCTCTCAACACTGAATGGTTTGTAACTCCAATCATGAGTGGCTAGCTGTATCTACGTCAGTGTCCCCGTTTGCTTGTACATGGTATCTGTTTGATTTTTTTTCAATCTATTCATTGTTTACTGTACCGTATGGCCCCAAATAGTGGCGCTTATGCGCTTATAACAAAATCATTTTTTTTTTAAGGGGGGCGGTTGTAATTGAGTAACGGCCATAAGCGCCTGCACTTTTATAAAGTCAAAAATGAAATTCAAATATGAAGATACTAAATTGAAGCTCATTAAGGCGAATACAAAGATGTGACATGCGCATGGGATTGTGCATGGAATCACGGCAAAACTTGCCGCGATTCGAATTTCCTCCGCACAAAACCTGACCCGGAGCAACGCACATGCCAGAGCTGACGCAAAAGCTGCTGTGCGGCCAAATCAGGTCGTCATGCACTGCTAGGCAGGAGCATTTCGACCGAACCCTCTAGATGGGGGTAGAAGATGCCCTGCCAGCGCAGCATGGATGGTGCCATGAACCCTCTTCTGCGGGTTCAGGCAGAGGGGTAACCCTCGTTCATTGACGAGGACCCCGAGGCGCTGAGCCGAAGGGGTCCCCTTCAATCTTTCATTTCTTCCCTCATTCATCCAGTTTTTCATTCAGTTTCGGGTTCTCTCCCGCCAGGCTGCGAAAGCCATGGCGGAATTCACCGGCACCCATTTCTTGTTCAAGAAGAAGCCTACCGCTAGGCCCGCATTTAGAGTTGACGCTGACGGGTGGTACCGTATTCCCCCGGATAGAAGACCCCCCCAAACTACAACACCCCCGGGTACCTAATACGGGGGGGGGGGGGTACTTTACAAAACCTCGATTTTGTTATACCCCCCTTTTGGGGGGGTGATAAATATAAGACCCCCCAATTCCCTTGCAAGGGGGTTTCCCATGTACATTTTCTTTGTTTTGTTCCAAAATAAAACATCCTACAATGCAAATCTGGCTTTCAGGGGGCGAATTCCGAGTGTCAAGGGGCTGATTTGCTACGTCAGGGGTCTATTTGCCGTATCAGGTGGCGAAATTGCTGCGTCAGGGAGCGCAATTGCCGTGTCAGGGGGTGAAATTGCTGCGTCAGAGGGGCGAATCTACACTGTGACAAACGAATTCGGTTCTGACAGGTCAAGCAAACTATTTGCTAGCTTGTGCTCACCAAAAGCAAACCCACCATTTCAGTATTAGAGGTAGTGTTCAAAACACCAAGTAAAAAATACGTCGTATGAAAAGACCCGGGTGGTATATTTTTTTTTTCCTTTGTTAAGACCCCCCCCCATTTTTTCCAGGGATTTAGCATAAGACCCTAGGGTCTTCTATCCGGGGAAACACGGTATTCCCATATCCCACCTGAGCCACCACAACCTTTTGCGCCTCCTGCGCCGCCTGCTCCTCGTGCGCCTCCTACGCCTCCTACTCCTCTTGCTCCTCCCATTCCTCCATCTCCTGTGTATCCCGTGCCTCCTGTGGTCACGGGCAATCAACCCGTGCTCACGCTCCTTCTCCCATCGGCGTTCAACAAGTATCTCTCGGAACTGGACTGCGACAAGCCCCAAGATGAATACGTAGAAGCTCCGGCCCCGGCACCACGATGGGGACAGCCCGATAACTGCAACTGGGACGAATCTGCAGTTGGCGTAGACGACGAGGTGGCTGACACCGAGGAAGAGTGGCATGCTGAGCGTGACACCGACGACGAGGGTGGCACGGAGGGTGGCACCGAGGCCGGCACCGCTGGGGATGTGTTTCCCGAGGGTGCTTCGGGCGGCGACGACGACGACGGCGTCGAGTATTGGTCACGCGACGGGCTTCCCGAGAAACTCTTGATACCCTCTTTCCCTCCTATTAATCGCAAGCGACCACACCCTGCTTCACATAACCGTGATGCCTGCCTTCCTTCTCCTTGGCACAAGATGAACCAGCACAAGCGTCAGGCATACACTGCCACCGAGAAGTTGAAGAGGTCCGCGCGGCTGGATGTTGCGGTGTCAATGCGCTCTTTGGCTCGCGAGAGTGGCATCCATCGCAAATGTCTCACGAACTGGAAGCGCGCCGCGGACTTCCTCAAAGAGGCACGCTCCGCCCGTAAGCGCATGCATGGTCGTGGCCGAGCGTTGTGGTACCGACCGATGGAGCTGAAGGTCTACGATGTTGTGTGATGCAATCATATGCATTCACGTTTGTCTTCCTCCCATCACATGTTCGTGCGTTGCATGCGTGGTGTGAGAGTATGCAAGAATTTGTGTTTTGTGCGGTTTGGTTTTTCTGAGTGTGTGTGAATGTTATTTGGCTTGAGCAGATACCTGAAGTGACTCCTCTGCTCAAGAGCTTTCCGACGAACCAAGTATCACTTCAATCGGAGCACGAACAAGAAAGTTACGAACGTTGGAAGTTCGTATGCTTTTGATATTTGGTTGTGGTGACTATGGGAAGTTGTGGTGTTGACCCCATAAGAGGTATAAAATTTTGGGGGTTGGGAAATTCGTCAACATCACTGTAGATGCTGCCAAGTGGTTGGGAGGAGCCAAACCAGGTTGGCAAGTGTGGCCAAGTTGGGCAAGGTGGATGACATGGGTTGGAAAGTGACAAAAGTAAAAGTGGGGTTCCTATAGGGCAGGGATTTGGTGTGCTAATGGGGTTTCCTTGGTTGGGGACTCCTTGGGGACTTCCCTCTCGTCCTCCTCTTCCCCTCCCACCTGGTTAATTGCTACTCTAACTCTCTTGTGTGGTTAATAGTAAAATTGTGAGACTCTTGTCAATTGAGTTAAGTTTTCAATGGCAGCTTACCCCCTAGTGCGCCGGAATTGATAACTCAAGAAATACTTCATCTTTTTGTACGATTCAAATTGGGAATTGTAGCCACGGAATAGTGCTACAACATATCTCAGTTTGGTGAAGTCTTGACAGTGTCATTATTGTCGACGGCGTTTCTTGTGAACTCGACTTTTCTGTCTAGAAACTAGGCCCAACGATTTTGAGATATTTCTGCTCCTAATCTTCATAGACTCCGTCCTTAGTCTCTAACAAGTGGTATCAGAGCTGATTAAGGACTTTTTGGAGAGTCTACTGAAGTGTGAAGACCCTCCTAGACCCACCATGGCATGTGGGCGTGCCTAAGTGGAGTTCTGGAGGTTAGATGTGACTTCCGCTAAGGGGAAACTCTGCCAAAATTTCGTTGGCGCCGACACTTGTGAAAATATTGTGGGAATTTTGTGTGGACAGCAAGGGGGGAGCTGAAAATTGTGATTGGGAGCAGAGGAGATGAGTCACGGGAGTAGAGAAGCAGCTGAGAAGAGGAGTGAGCCACCACCATCCAAGATTGAGGCATTGGATGGCTCCAACTACGAGGAATGGAGCAGACGGATGAGGAGCGTCTTCAAGCGCTACAAGCTGCTGAAACTTGTGATGGGAGAAGAGAAGATGCCCGAGGAAGTAGATAATCGGGATCGGTGGATTGAGAAAAGCGCGGTGCTGTACGACTTGATTCTACAGTCGGTCAACAACGACCTGTTCCAGCACATCAAAGATTTGGTGGAGCTCGATGACTCGGGACCAAAGGCGTGGAAGGTGCTACGCGACGTGGTTCAGCCCAACACGCTGCCGATGGTGATCGTATTGGAGAAGGAGTTGGCTGCCCTCTCCATGCGGCCGGGAGACGATGTGAAGCCAGTGCTTGACAAGGTCAAGGACACCTATGCGAGGATGGCAGCGGCGGGCAGCAAGGTGTCGGAGATGCAGTAGTGCACCAAGATTATCTCGGTGCTCGACAACTCGTGGGACAACCTTATCCCCACCCTCAACGCTCAGCAGGAAAAGTGGACGCCTGAGTGGCTACGGCAGCAGATCCTGCAGGAGGACTTCCGCAGGCGCCACACGGGAGGTGGTGATGCAAATAAAACTGCTGAGGGGTATGGAGCTGCAGGAGGCAGCAGACGGAGAGGGGGAGGGAGAGGCCGAGGCCGTGGGAGAGGCTTTGGCAGAGGGAGAGGGTGCGTGCTGGTACTGCAAGAAGGCTGGACACCCATGGTTCAAGTGTTTCAGCCGGCCTGAGGGATGGGCGCCCCCAGGCATGAAGCTGCCAAGTGATGAACGTGCACGAGGTGGCGCTATGCAAGGTTCAGGTGCACAAGGTGATGGTGCACAAGGTAAAGCTGACCCTGGGATGTTCCTTATGGTTGAGGATGTGCAAGGGAGTGGGGGTGATGCGTGTTCAATTGGGAAGGTTGTGATGCACCCCCTCACTCACTGGGTAATCGATTTAGGATAAACAAGTCACATAACCCCACGGGCAGATTTGCTTGACGAGGTAAAACCCCCTGGGAAGATCAAGTTTGTGGCTGCCGCTTCAGGTGCTTTGCTCCCTGTGATTGGTGTTGGAAATGCCAAGGTAATGGGAGCCTATGGGGGGCTTGTGGGGCTGGGGAATGTGTTGCTGGTTGAAGGTTTGTCCGCTAACCTCCTCTCTGTGCGCCGGCTGCAGAAAAGCAAGGCCAAAGTGACCTTCGGCCCAATCAGCTGCCGTGCAAAGCTTGGGAAGTTGCTGCTGTGGGATTTGGAGGAGAAGAGAAGCTGCATCAAGGACCTTTGGCAGCTGCCCATTATCCCTTGGAACAGGAAACCACCAGCAACGGCAACGGCAGCAGCAACGGCTAAAGCAACTGCGGGAGGAGAGGAGACTGCACCAACTAATGGGGCCCTGGATGTAGTCAAGAAGATGCAGCAGCCACAGCAGCCACATGTTGAGGTGCTTGCTGGTGTGGATGGGACAGCTGCATGGGCAAAGGCTTCATCCGGGAGTGGTGAGGCCGATTGG